TATAATAAATAATAATAGTACAATATAATAATAACAATGAATGTAGATAATTCTCATATAACTTTATACTTAACAGATTTACCGACCCATATACTAATTAATATCTCTCTACTATCTAAAAACTTTAATATTTTTCTAACCTGCAAACTTCTTTATAATAGAACCGTTCAAACCACATTTAGAGTAAATTATCTAGCTTTAAAGTATCCGAATATACCGAAGTTATTTAGTCCTAAAGCGTTGAGTAGTCCTTGGTTAAACAAATATAACACTTTAAGCAAATTGATAGACTATACTGGCTACGATATTGAATTAGATAGATTTCAACTTATTAAATTAGGTTTAAAATTAAGAAAATCAGCTTGGTTTCCTCACATATTAGAAAAATTTGAGCTTTATAGAGGTGAAGATAAACAAATAATAATAAACGAATTTTTAGTAGAAGCTTGTAGTGGAAGACATATCGAATTAATAGAGTTAATATTAAAACTGGGAGGAGACCCAAGTCACAATCAATGTAATTTAATATTGTCAAGCATTTTGGATAATGACTATAATTTGGCAAAGCTATTGCTTATCTATAGTCCTCCCTTGAATGAACTAATAGTTAACCACTTATTAAGGGGGTGTGCTAATATTGAAAGTTTAGAAATTATAGATATGTTATTGGAGAGAGGAGCTGATATAAATAACGAAAATGGGTACCTTATACGTCAGCAGTGCTACTTAGGTAACTTTAGAGTTGTCAATTATTTATTAGGAAAAGGTGCTAATCCTACGCTAATGAATCATGCAACACTCCTCTCTGTGTGTCAAAGAGGTCACACTCAATTAATTCAGCCTTTAGTTAAATCTGGGTGTGACCCAAATTTTAATAATGGCATGCCCCTCTTCTTTAGTACTAATTATAATAAATTAGATGTTATTAGGGAATTGGCTAGATTAGGTGCTAACCCTGCTCTAAATAATATAGGGTTTGAGTGTCTAACAATAGCTTGTAAAAAAGGAAGTCTTCCTGTTGTCAAATACTTTGTAGAAAGCTTAAACGTTTCGATTAATCCAGAACATCCAGAAAAGGAGAGATCACCTATAATTTGGGCTATTATTCATAAGCATAGGGATATTGTAGAGTATTTAATAACAATGGGCGCTGATTTGAATAACCCTTATAATTGTTGTTTGTATTATGCGAAAAAGTCAAAGCAAAAGGATATGTCGGAGCTTATAGAAGGTAGGGGAGGGATTTTAGTTAATGAGTAGAGTTGAAGTGGCACTGTGTGCTAATAAGGAAATATTAATTTAAAATTAATACAAAATTAGATTGAATTTAATAAAATCTTTGAAAATAATAAAAAATTCAAATTTCTATTAAAATACTTTAAGTTTGTAATAAATAAACTCTTATTTACCTTATAATAATTAATTATATTATTATTCTGATAAATTTATAGTAACTAAATTTGTATATTTTATAGAATAAAAATATAATTTATTAAACAAGTGAAATATATGTAATGTAGTTAATTTGTTAGTCTCTACTCAAGTTGAGGAATGTAAGAGTTGTTCTTCTTTGGTTAAGGGCCCAAATACCTAATTGTTCATACCTATCAATACAAGCTTCTAATTCAGCTTCCTTATAGCCATTAGCGAGTACCCTTTGTCTAACAAGGTCAATGCTAAGATCCCAAAGTTCATTACCATCGGTTTGTTTACGAAGATCTCTGATAGTGCGGTAAATACCGGTATGTGCTGTTGTATCTGATACTTGTTCACTATGTCTACCTCTAGAGTTTTCTAAACTGGCTTTAGAGCTATCAATTAAACGAAGGGCTTCATTTACATCTTGAGCTTCTACAGTTTCAGAGAATCTGATTCTAGCACAAGCTTGAGATAAACGAATAATAGCGAGTAAACTACGAGCTGAAACGTAAGCACCATCATCCTTACTCTTACCACCTTGAGAGTTAGCTTGGATCTTACGAAGTTCTACATATGAACTAACGATATAGTCTTCAACTTCTGGTGTAATAGTAGTTTCAATTTTACGGGCTTGAGCAATATAATGACTTAATTGAGCAGGAGAAAGGATACCTTGTTCAGTGATAGCAGGGGGAGCATTATGCATATGTACGTGGGTAACGTGTTGAGCTAAAAGACGATCTTCTTCGTCAGAGGGAAGATCAAGAATTAAGAATAAAATATCGAAACGAGATAAAAGAGCAGCAGGAAGATTGATATTTTCTGAAGGAGATCTACCAATGTGGTAACGACCATAGGCAGGATTAGCAGCTGCTAAAATAGATGTACGAGCATTAAGAGTGGTATTGATACCAGCTTTAGAGATACTAATAGTTTGTTGTTCCATAACTTCATGAATAGCAGTACGATCTGATTCGTCCATTTTATCAAATTCATCAATGCAACAAATACCGTTATCTGAAAGAACTAAAGCACCACCTTCTAATACAAGTTCATCGGTTACAGAATCTCTCATAACAGCAGCAGTTAAACCAACACCACTAGAACCTCTACCGGTAGTATAAACAGCTCTAGGAGCTACTTTAGAAATAAACTTTAATAACTGAGACTTAGCCATACCGGGATCACCCATTAAACAAACGTTAATATCACCTCGAATCTTCATACCATCCTCTGTTACCTTGGTACCACCACCTACTAAAAGTAATAATAAAGCCTTTTTAACATCTTCTAAACCGTAAATTTCAGGGGCAATAGACTTGGCTAATTTTGAATAGGCATCACCATCATTCTTTAAAGCTTCGATAACTGATTGGGTTTCTTCATCGGTTTCCATTTGCTCATAAGATTTTTTAATATGATGAATGTATTGGGAATGGAGGTAAGTATCAGCTAAAAGACCAGCTCTAATAGCTTTGAAACCTGTGAAGGGAGTAGGTAAGAATATACCTGATATGTTAACAATATCACCAGGGTTAAGTTGACGGGTTAAGGTTTCATAAAGGTGAACGGTTAAAGTTCTAGGAGTATGACCTACAGGTACTTGATCTGCCATTTCTTGAAGCCTTAATTCTTGATATTTAATGAACTTGGAGGCTCTAGTTTGGATATTAAGTTGACCTTTAGTATTATTTATTTTACAGTCCTCTGAAGGGCATTGAACAATTGGGGTGAATTGTTTTCCTTTAACCTCTTCGAAAACTTCACAACCACAACGGTCGCAAGTGTAGGCATTTACAATGACTAAAGGTTTAACATCGGAAACACGAGTAACAATACCTGTAACGGTAACTAATTTACCAACGCACTTAGCTTTTAAGTCTCTAACGGCGAGTAAAGGCTTATGAGAGAGGGGTTTAAAAGAAAGGGTACTAGATGAATGTTAGAGTTAT